TGCGCGATGGGCATTATGGGAATGCTGAAGTGGCTTAAAAAGTAAGTGTTTATTGCTTTCATTTTTTCGTTATGTTTTTGACCGTTACAAGACGTCGTAGAAGCAGGCCCTCGATTTACGCGTTAGATTGGTCTCTGAAGTTCTGCGAAACTTTGGTAATTCGATCGGTACAAAAATACTGTATTTGAATAAAAATCTGTTATTGTTTTGAACTTGGCGCTGTATTACCCTTCGGTATAAGACACTTCTATGAAGTGAAAACTTCTAGAAATTAAAGGAGAATTTCTTGGAGGCAACGGAGAGAAAGATACCCATTTAATGCAAGTGTTAATTCAACAAAAATAAAAGAACGTATCGTTTGAATCTGAAACGTGAAAATTAATGTAATTTTACCATTATTTTTCTTATCTGTTTCGTTAGTATTTGTAAACAACAATTGTTTCCTATTTTATACACTTGTCCCGAACGTTTATAGATTTCTCATTCATGTACCATGTTTTTTGTTTATCTTTACCACGAGTATTTCATGTGAATTTATATACTAGAAAGAGTGGACCTGGTTCCAAGAAGCCATTGTTTATTTCTCAATACGAAACGAACGATACACTTTTATATTCATGGCAAATAATTTTCGTTTAAATATCCGCATGTTTGGTTGACATTGAGAGCAATAGTTTCGACATTCTGACCTTAATGGTAAATCTTCTTCAGAAAATTACGAAACGATTCTATCAATAAATAAAGAATGCATATTGTAAAGACGAGACAATATCAATAAACAGCATATACATTAAATAGGCATATTTAGAAAACTAATTATTTTATAATTTTTTGAACAGATAGTATGAAAACAATTTGTGACTCGCTTTCGTTACTATAATAACATCTTGGATTCCAATTTCTTTTTCTAATTCGTTCATCTAAAACGTTGGTGTCCTTGATGAAAATACGTTTTAAAATAATCTGTTAAACTGAAATCCTATCGTTTAATACATTTGTTTGATTGTGTTTAACCAAAATTGTGGAATTTAATTTACCACATAAATTAGGTGTACATCGAAGAGTTTCTCTTGTTTTAGTTCGTTTGGCGCCGACAATGATAAAAGTTTTCAAAGTAGACAAGTTTGAAAAGTTTTATTAGTTATGATTAACCGTTCGTTCAGTGCCTGTTTATCAAATAACGTATTAATTCGTTGAATTTATAAACATTTGTCTAACCTAAACGTATACTTCTATTCGTAACATTTTCAAAAAGTCCTCTATCGTGTGTTTCGATACTTCATCCGTTACTGTTTGAGTGGGCAACTGAAAACACGGCACAAACATAAACAAAACTCAGTAAATCAACTTCGTTGTTTCTATAATACAAATGAAATACTGTGATTTAAATTGACATTCGTCATTGCTATTCGTGAGGAAATCTGGTAAATATCTAATTAAAAGTGCATTTTAATGTGATTGTAACTGTAATAAGTGGCTCCGTTTTAAAAAGTGAAGGTGATTTTTTTCTATAATCGAATAAAAAATTAATTTTAAATTTGTAACACGATGAACTGAGTATTTTTGGCACTCGACAAGATTTTAAAAAATGTAATAATACCGATATAAAATTATTAAACATCTTTTTTCACGAAATTAATTTTTCTTATTACAAGTTCGATGTTGCAAGAATGTTGATACGTGAAATAGTTTATACTTTATTAACAACAGGAATTATTTACAATATACCGTTTTAGAGGTGGCTAAGACGTGTTTATGAACACATTTGTAACTTTCACAATATGCTAGTACATCAAAGCATCGAATATTAATTAGGATAATAAGTGGAATACGAAATGAGATTTGTTCATGACAATGAGAACTAATTAGCTACTAGAGTATCAAGGCTAAGATTGACAAAATTGCAATAAAAATAACGATTAAAATAAGTGACAGAATTATTCCTCTTTGATAATGATTACAAAAAGCATCAGAGAATAATTAAGATATTATAAGTGTCCTATTATTTAGACGCTTAATGGAATAGTAGAATGATCAGTGGAATTTATGAGAAATATTAAAACCAATAACATATGTTATCAATAAAATATTATCAAACGTAGAAAAATAATGTTATGTAACTTCACGACAGAACGATTAACCGAATTTAACGTTTGCATGAAAAGTAGAATACGTAAACATATAAAATACCAACTGTCGGATTGTTAATGTCGCAGTTGTTACTACAGCGCAGTCTTGTGTATTTACGAAAGCTTGTTTTAATTGCTGTACAACTCTCGCTACCGTATGTAGGTGCTATGACCTCTATAATTATCTGCGATAAGAGTGATACAACGCAAAAGATATATCTTTTTCAGAAGAGAAATTTAAATAATTCGCACACGAGTTGTTGAGATTGAACAGTTATATAGTTTACGAAGAATTAATCACTCGATTCAGAGAAAATTAGAAAATTTCTTCTGTTGCGACTCTCCATTATCAAATGAGCAATACAATGAGTATACAATTTCTAAACATATTTATTAGATTAGTGCATAGGTATTTTTAAAATCTAAATTTGGGAATAATGATTATTTTTAAATGAAAACCTATAGTTTTATTTGTAAGAACCGAAGCGTGAAAAGTTTGTGAAATCTAACGATTTTAGCATACGAATATAATAGAAAGAGCTATATAGTTAGTTTGCATTTCGCATCGTACGGCCAAGCAGCGACTAGCACCCATTAACCATGCAAATGTTAGTACTTTCACAAGGAATCTTTGGAATTGATACCTTCGATAAAAATGAATTCTAGTGGAATAACTTTATGCAATCTCCCGGTCAGCTTAGTGTTCTACGATCGATAATCGTACCAGGAAATCGAATGAAAAAGAAAGGAAAACTGGGAAACACGGAATTCATTGGCAACTAGTTTTGTTTATTACAGACTGCAATCCAGAACATTGTAGTTAAAATACTGGTAATAATATTGTAGTGATTAGAATAATTCAGATCTTATCAAATAACTCTAGTATGTATGAAGATATTTTATATGGTATGGAAACCAAAAGAAGATTGTTTATGTTTAAAATAAATTTTAAATAATAATCTATTAATATGATAAAAGGAACAATTATAACAAAATTAATACCTATACCTTTGATATTTATACTTTGGAAAACACTAATATAGGTACACAGTATGCAAAACTCGTCTATTGCATTATGATGGTAAGATGGTCACTTATTGATAAGTGTTATGTCTTTTGTTTAAGACAAAAGCATAGGTAATAAAGTCATATTGTGTAACTAGAGTTTCGTCTTATTGGGTTGGTTACTTTGATAATTGTACGAATTTTGAATTGTACAATTATCGAGATTGTAATTTTATTTTTAATTGTTTGTATATTTAGAAAAGGTATTCAAATGGTCTTTGAGACTAATATGTAATTGTTTTACAAACACAATTCATATTTTTTCAAATAGTTTTATAAATAATAAATGAAAAATATAATAATGGCTCGTAACTGAGAGCAAAATTGAATGAAATTATTTCTTATAACTGACACACAGTTAATCTGCCCTAAGAAGGGTAAATAAAATGGAGTTTTATAAATTTTTGTATTAATTCCGAGTATTTTTTTTTATCGTAACTCTCATTTGTAATCTTCGAAAATTAAAATAGATTCAAACTTCCAAACATCATTCTCGTAAGTTCAGTCATTCAAAAGTTACGTTATAATAGGTCGATAAGTTCATCGTGATATTAACTGTAGTACTGTACAAACACATATGTACAATCTACAGAAGTAAGAGCATTGCTAATATCTCCCAAAATTATAATTTATACTTGACAATTTGTTGGGGTTCGATCTACATGAACGCATAAAAATTATTAATACTTTTATCAAATGCCTCTATCGTTCATATTTAAGAGTACAATTGTAGTCACAAAAGAATAATTAGCAAAAAAGCTAGACACAGCAAGAGGCTCAAAGGCAAAGTTTCAACCTAATCTTAAATCATAATATCTGCTTCTTGGAAGAAAAATTTAACAAAGAGAACTTAACACTATTTGTACAACGGTTTTATGCATACCTATTTCGATCAAAAGGTGTCCTTTGGCATAAAAAATAATTGCAAGTTAAAATTTCAAAAAATAGTGTTGAAGTAGTCGAGTTAAATGGGACACACTGTACCACATACATACTTGTATCCCTAAACGATCCGGATTGAAGTAGTTTTACTCTACATTTTGTTGAAAGTCCGACATTTCGCGTCAGGTTTTCTCACGATTACTACATATACGTAAATGCTTGTGGTGTAGCCAAACAAAAAACTTGGTACACGAGGGAAATCTCAACATTTCGACTATAGTTTTCAAACATCAAAAATCTACGAAAGACACATTTTTATTATTTTCTTATTATGTCAATCGTTCTTTTTACTTATTTCATTCTAAATCGTTATCAAATTTTTCTTTTAGAGATTTTTATACATACCGAAGAGAATAAAAAATTCTGGTTCAAATTTTGTATTTAAATACTTTAGAATAACAAATAAATAATAAGGAACCATCATTTGAAATTTGAAGTACGGAATTAAATATTTCAAAATGGACAAATATAAATTTATCTGTTCAATTTTTCATTTAAAATTCAGAGTCTAAACGTTCAAATTTCTTATACTAATATATTTATGCTTGTGCAGATTGTATAACAAATTTCGAGCACACGTTTTAACTCGGTTTTCGGTGTTATTTATCAGCCGCCACGATCTCGATAACCTTCACCTATAACGTAACTCGTCAACTGAATTATGCTTTATCATAGACGTCGCTGCAACCGGTCTCCCCGCTCCAAAACAGCGACACAATTTGCGATAAAATAATATTCGGTTACGCTAGTTTGTCTGGTGCAACAGTGAACGTGTGCATCGCGTTACCGCGCTTTTGATAGAATTTAATAGCTCGAATTCGGTCCCGTGTGTTAACTTTCTTTTTATCAGTCGGTATTTCAAAGCGTTTCGCACGAAACGTTCACAATACCAGATTCTAAGAAGTTGAAATTTCCACGGAGTTTATTTACTCTTTGAAGTAAAAGCGCGCTGAAGTTGATGACTTTTAAAATCGAAAGTCACTTTGAAACATTCGTGATACTTAAAACTTAAATCTGGAAAATTAACAGTCGTTAAAAATGAAAAAGTAGAAGTTGCATGTGATCTATTATATATTATATAGATTAACAAAGAGCATTTTAATATGACTACAAGATAATAAAAAGGATTTGTTCGATAAAGCAGAATTCAGAAATTTTCATTGAACCTTGTATGTAGCCTTGTTTATTTGCTGTGAAAATGTTCCAAAAAAGTGCAAGCGTATCGAAGACACGGGTTAATTACTCTCGAAAAGAACGAGATCTTCTGCTGTTTGAAGGTGAGCACGCTAGAATCAACAACTCTGATGTCATCTAATGTTCATTGTTAAATTCTTAATTAACTATGCTTTAAAGAAAAGAAAAATAATGTTATTATCTACTCTATTTGACTTTAATATTCCGGGTTTTACCGATGTTGCTATTTTAGACACTAAAGATAGAAGAAAAGTAAAATTGTTTGAAAGTATACGCGATATTTTTGTTACTATAGGGTTTCGCGATACTTCTACCGATTGCTATGATAAATTCGCGGATCGTTTTATTTTGTAGTATATAATGTGCACTACATACAGTCTATGTGTAATTGCTGTTAATGAAACTGTGACGACGGAGATCTGAGAATAGTGGCAGGTCAGTTGTTGCTCCACGAGTCCATAATAAAGGCATCTCGAGCATACTAATGCGCTATACATATATGTACCTTCTCTGTTAATAGTTATGTCTCGTTCAGAATCAGTATAAGAGAGCAAAATCAGTTGTAGACTGTTAGCCTCTATGCAAAGCATTTTCTTTCTTACACAATGATTATCGTAATAAATTATATTAAAAAACTAGTAAACGAAATAAAACTTATCCTTATTCGTTCTACGTCTGACTACAAAACTTCTGTACTAGAAATCTAAACATTATAATATATGTAAATATGTAATTATTCTAACGGGTATTCCATTCAAGGACTACCGTTTCATTTCTGCCATGCAAAATGAACTTGAATAATATTGTTGCAAAATCGGTTCCCTACTTTCAACCTTACAGTAGAATTAAAAATAAAATTTTTATCAAAATATTTGTTTAGTTTGGCTCGTCTTTCTACTTGAGTTAATTCAGTTAGTGAAAATCAAAATTTATGCACTCCAATTACATTATTATGCCGTGAATTACTTTATACAAAAAAAAAGAAAAATATAATTTACTAACTTATTCTTAAGAAACTCTTGAATTCTTTCATTTACTTTAAATAAAAAATGTATCAAATATTACGTTTTCTTTAAAAACCGATTAAGTAGTTACGAATTAAATAGATAAGAGCACGGTCATAATTTTATCGAATGATAGAGGATACACCTCTAATATTTCAGATATGACGAAGATAATAAAGTTGAATAATAATTGAAGAAATTAAATATGATAAGAATCGCCAACATCGGAAGTTGCCTTCAAAGAAGAATTTATGTCGCAGGATAAATATAGATATCAGCTATTAGAGAAAATTGAAAATTACAAAAATATTAAATCTTGACATATTCCTTCTTATTTCATCGATACACAGTCACGTTAATAGAAAACTGGTTATAGGTATTTGCATAAAAATTAATCTAACCTGTTATTTTATTTTCTAGCACAAATATGAAACGCGGTCATAGGATGTGCAGCATTAATATGCAATTTTCTTATTACGTTTTCGATAATCTGAAACGCATTAACAAAATACTCGACATCCAATATACAGGATGATTCACTTAATGTGGCAGTTTTAATTACATTAAAATTTTGTTAAAATATCCACAGAAAACTTTATACAGGGTGTTCGGCCACCCCTGGGAAAAATTTTAATGGGAGATTCTAGAGGCCAAAATAAGACGAAAATCAGGAATATCAAATTGTTGATTGAGGCTTTGTTAAAAAGTTATTAAAAAATTACATTAAAAAATTTCAAATCGTTCTGGAAAAATTATTTTTGGTTGCGGGGGTCAATTAGTAATTTTTGGCGAATAGACACACCTCCGAAATCCTACGCACTTTCGAGAAAAAAATTCGAGTAGGTGCTGAAATTTTTCGGCGAAATTAAAAAATTTCAAATCATTTTAAAAAAATTATTTTTGGTTACAGGGGTCAATTACAATCATTTTTGGTCAATACACATACTCTCGAAATCCTACACACTTTCGAGAAAAAAGTTCTTTACCGAAAATATACTGTGTGGTCGGAAATGTTTCTATAACTTTTTAAGGAAACCTCAATCAACAAATTAGTATCCTTTAACTTCCATTAAAATTTTTCCCAGGGGTAGCCGAACACTCTGTATATTATATAAATATATTACATTAGCCTAATTAATTAAGCGAATCGCGTAAGATTAAGTTGATAACTAATAAATTATAAATGAAAAGTATAATTATAGTAATTATTATTCGGTTGAATAAAAATTATAATAATTACAGAGAACATTGGGAAACTAAGAAAACCCAGTACTGTTAGGATCAATTCCACCCACTCAGTTTAACAATTGAGCAGAGTTTAATGGATTGTTCTGGTAATCGGTTGCTAGGATTTCCTAACCGAACTCTGCTTAATGTTTAAATTCAATTGAAGAAAGTGCCTCTTACTTGCATGATTTCGCCAATCGTAAGTCTATTTTCGTACGTTCAGTCTAATAGATACAAGCAACATATCTTAACGCGAAACGTTGTATAATATACGATTTCCTGTAAAACATTCTGTAATTCTATATTATCAAAACGATTAAAAATACTAACAAGAAAGAACCTAAAATTGAATATTTTCAATGACTCACCTATGCATGTTCCTGTTTGAAAAAAGGATTCAAAGAAAGTACAATTCCGTGGAACTAACAAATTTCGCAAGAATCGAGAGACGAACGTCATCATCTAATCGCTTTTTAAAGTGCTTCAATTATTCTCAGAGTGATAGAATTGTTTAAAAAATCGTAAAAAGTGAATATTCGAAAAAATATGGTTCAATTCATATAATTAAAACAGAATCCAATACAGAGCAACACAGACATCATAAATAAAGACACATAACGGAAACGTGTTTTTTTTGTTGTTTTAGGGATGTCATACAAAGAGAACGAAATGGATGGAATTTAGCACAGAAGCAGTGTGACTTGAACAAGTAAGAAAATACGATTTTATAATGAATCATAACATTTCTAATTTTCGTGTATGTTATTTGCCATCGTAATATTAACTTTGTGTTGCTACGCTATGAATGCACATTTTTACAGTTGCATGTTATTTATTCGTAGATAATATGCAGTAAATGTATTACTTACATGTTCTAAGATAATATAAGCACGTGGCACCTGTAAATCAACTTCAACGTTCAACAGAATAAATGAAATGTACTCACATGTTACACGTACGAGTTTCACAGGCGCGTAACACTTGTATTTTTCCCTTCAAAAGTTCAATGTTAGGTTGGGTTCCGGTTCATTGTAATAATGTCAAACCTCGTTGAACACGAAGAAATAGCGATCATTATCACCACACCTTCCGCGGGAAATTGTTCACGTATTACAAGCGTCTATCGGTGTCCATAAAATTGTCTCGTATATTGGTTAGGGCTTCTAGTTAACCGTATATCGAAGCTACTGTTTCGAAGTTTAATATCTATGTACATAAAAGTTTGTCGTATTCACTTACACATTGTTTATTTGCGTTCGAAGGCACTCGTTTATCTCGAATATCAAAATACACGAAAAAGTTTCTACAATATATCATTACAATCAGGTAAAGTGACACTCTGCACTATAAACGGATCAGCCGGCAACTAACGACTTGATTTTTACGACGTGCCAATCACAGTTCGAGAAATTCGGCGGTGACCAATAGCGCAGCTTGATTAGCATCTTCAGCGATATACAATCGATAATTCGATATAATTTACGTGATACCAACAGTATTAAATTATCCTGCAAATGGTTAGAGGGATAATTTTTCGATTCGAAGCGGAAGTCGACACTTTTCATCTGAAAAATGACAGACAACGAAACAAAGCGACGGGAAAAGAAATGCGAACGAGCTGTCTCGTAAGTGTTACATTTTACGAACGAAAGCGATGAACGTCTTAACCTATTTGGTCGCGTGTAATGCAAAGAATAATTCAAACTGACAATGCCCACTGTGGTTCTTCTAATCGAGGCCGCATCATGCTTTATTCTTCCCTTAGTTACAATGTTTATTCGGTTCTGTAGGTGACCAATACCTCTATAATTTCATTCCTGTGTAGAATATTTAAATTAAATAGTTGTTTTTAAATAGTGTATTATTTAGTGTTTCACGAAAACAATGTCTGTCTTTTGTTTTGTCTTGTGTAGTTTTGTTGCATTGTCATAACAAATTGTAATTTTAAAGTGACTCTCAACCTTCCAGTTTAGGCAAGTATCAATAAATATCATTTCAATGATATTATTGTGCAATGTTTTTCATAAATTGTGTTACAAGTTTTATAATGAATTATGGAGGTTAAAGATGTTGACAAATACATATTTACTAAATTGGACAAGTTAAATATTACACTAATATCAACTTTGTCAAATGAAAGACAGTGTTTCTCAAATATAATTTATTCTACTGATGTTTTGAAATAATTTGAAAATAATTCAAACGATGGTAAATATTTTCGATAATACCTATTAAATACGTACCATTTTTTATGCAATAGGTAATTAACTTATTACTATTTTTTAATAATATTATATAATTTATAAGTTACTCAATAATATGTTTATTCTGGAATAAAAACAAATACAATTGAATGAGTGTTTATTTTGAAAATTCCAAAAAGATATAAATATAACAATGTTTTTTTATAACTATAATTTATAATTTTTTATAATTGTTTATCCTAAAGTATATCAATAAATTCCCTGCAACAGTATATATATAGCGTATTTGCTCTAATTATATTTTTTTCAAGGCCATGGTTATCGAAATGTCGTTTATTATACTGTTTTAAATTGAAGTTACGTGTATTAGATCAGCGGTTCTCAACCATTTCTCCCTACCAGCGAAGCAATATACAGGGTGTCCCACATTTTTCCGTACACACTTCAGCAGTGTGTTCTACAAACAAAAATAAGACTAAAGTGTGACAAAATAATGAAATGTGATGGTTTTTATTTACTAAAATTTTGTTTAAAGAGAGCAACTGATAATCGAGGCACGAAAAAATTTTTATCTTGGGTGCTGAAGTATTCTTTTTTCGATAACTTTTTGTTGTCATAAAATTTTGAACTATGGTTCAAGTTTATGTTCAGTAAATTACAAAGAAACTCACGATATCGAATGCTTACAAAAGATTAAATTTATTATATTATACATTTTTTTTCTGACTTTAATGTCCTGAATCTCAACCGAGTTTCACAGTTCATATTTTTGTTATAACTTCTTAACAAAGCATTTATGAATTTTTTATTATATAACATTTTAGTCTTAGTTTTACTTGTAGAACAAACTACTGAAGTGTGTATGGAAAAATGGGGAACACCCTGTACAATAATGTTATACATATATGTACTACTTTTTAGATAGTGTCTATTTGAATCTATTTTTCGATTAAAGATATGTTATTTATATCGCACCCTCAGAATAGAATTCAATTATTGCATGTGTAATAAATTTTATAAGCGTATTTATTGTTTAAAAATTGAAATGAAAAATGATGTAATCTTAAATAAATATATTTATTATTCATTTTACATTACATTCTATAAACATTTTTGTGTATACACTTGCATAAATAAATAATTAATGTAAACTGGATTATTTATCGAATAGAAATAGTAATAAATAAATTATAAATACACTTCATACACTGACTAGCATAGATTTTCTGTTGGTGTAGATTATATTATTAAATCATAAATAATTATTTACTAGTATTCAATATCGTTTACAATTTTATATTATTTTTAACAGAAGCAAAATGAAACATGACAATGATGATGAAACTATATAAATAATTGAATAAACTTAAATTTCTTTCGAGCGGTTTTTGTAATATAATACTAAGGAAAGATTTTTTTAATTTTTATTCTGTTATACAGGTTGTTCGGTCACCCCTGGGAAAAATTTTAATGGGAGATTCTAGAGGCCAAAATAAAACGAAAATTAAGAATACTAATTTGTTGATTGAGGCTTCGTTAAAAAGTTATTAACGTTTAAAGTTCCGCCTGTAGAACGGCAATCTGCGAGTAGATCTTACATCCAATGTATTTTTTCGGCCCATTTTCTGGGGGCTCTAGAGCTCCGTTAATAAGCATTGTTTGAATTTTGAGTCATTAAAATTCTTCAATCCGTCCAGAAGTTATGATTTTTTAAACATACGCATGAAATTTCGGGGAAACACTTCCGGCCACACAATAAATTTTGGGGTAGCATTTCTGGCCAGATTTATATTTTCGGTATAGAATTTTTTTCTCGAAAGTGCGTAGGATTTCGAGAGCATGTGTATTGACCAAAAATGATTGTAATTGACCCCTGCAACCAAAAATAATTTTTTTAGAACGATTTGAAATTTTTTAATTTCGTTGAAAAATTTCAGCACCTACTCGAATATTTTTCTCGAAAGTGCATAGGATTTCGGAGGTATATCTATTCACCAAAACTTATTATAATTGACCTCCGCAACCGAAAATAATTTTTCTAGAATGATTTGAAATGTTTGAATTTAATTTTTTTGTAACTTTTTAAAGAAGCCTCAATCAACAAATTGATATTCTTGATTTTCGTCTTATTTTGGCCTCTAGAATCTCCCATTAAAATTTTTTCCAGAGGTTTCCGAACACCCTGCATAAGATGCGTTATTTTCATCTGAAAATTCACTGACCACCACCAGCAAATTATAGTAGAAAAGACGCTTTTACAGTTAGAAATTGACGTCTTATATGTATATTATATGTATAGTATAAGATAGAAGTAAATTTGAATCATTTTGTATACTACGTCGATACTTTGAAATGAAAATAAATAATGATTAATTATTTATCAATCATTCTGTTTCTAGCGAATCTTATCGTAATGCTTTGCAAGCTTTCATAGACCGCAGACGATACTCGGACGACGTGGAAACAGACTCACTGTGCAGTCCTGATAAAACAAGACGCGACTTTTTGGTAAAAACAAACAACAACAAATGCGACAATGAACTCAAAGCTCAAGAATCAAAACCGATCGTACCCGGAGTACCACACATACTAGCCTCGGAGATTTTCGAAATCGGTTGGGTACCTGGCACGGAAGACCGATACCTGGAGTTAATTTTTGCTGAATGGCAAAATACCAGAGTTTCTCTGAAGAGGCACACGCATCCGGATTGCAAAGATGCCGTGAAAGCTGACTTGGATGTACTTTCGTACGTATCAATCAATATAAGAAAAATGCATTGTTATTGCCTCTGTATATGCAGTATTTATTGCAGTAGTTATTACCTCAGTAAATTAAATTTTATTTCATTTTTATTCATTTAACAATTCCGTTCGGCATAACGAAGAGAATGGTATAGAGGAAACGCAGCAGAAAATAAAAACAAATGAAATAATTTCACTTGCGATGCATAATAATATTTCATTATTTTCGTTCCTCGTTTTCTGTATTAATAATACAATTTGTAATTTAATTACGAATATGCAACGTATGCAACAGGGAAATTCGACATCCAAACGTGCTACTGTTGATGGCCACCACGCACACAGACGACCATGGTTTAGTTTCCATTTTCGAATCCGTTGATTGCACCCTCTACCACTATATACACGATCAGGGTGAACGAATATCGATACAAGGCATTGCTAAATGCGGAGGAAGACTGTCCGATGCCTTAAGACATACACACATGCGCGGGTATGTGCACAGTGCCATCAGCTCCCATTGCGTCTATCTGACTTCCAGTGGCAATGTAAAACTTGGTGGGTGGGAACTGGCCATGCAAATTGGAAGAGTAAGTAAATAAACTTACTATCTTTGAACATTGAGCTTTAATTTCTAATCTATTGGGTTGTTCAGAAAGTAGTTTCGTTTTCTTATCAACAGAGACGTTAATTGTATCTTTAACCAGCCAACTTTATTCCAATCCGTATTTTCATTATATATTTTCACAGCTGACACTTCAAGGCTTGTTTGTAAAAAATTTTGTTTGTTTTTGTACAATTGTGTTACTTAGTGTCCCGTCAAATATGGAAAATCAGAAGCTGCATTTTCGGCATAGTTTGCTTTTTTTATTATCGAAAAGGTAATAACGCTGTTAACAGAATGGTAGTGCCAAAACTCGTTCGCAAAATTTCGTTCCTGCAATTTTGATATCGAAGGTGGCCCACGTTCAAGAGGGTCAGTTAAAGTCGACGAAATCAAAAAAGAATTTACTTGAAAGTGCAAAAAATGCGTGGGCTTGTATCATAGATTTAATCTCGTTGTTCAAGTTTGTCATAAACAGCATGAATAAGTTACGCGGTGGCATACATTAAACTAGAAGTTTTTAATGACGTAATAGGTTTTAAGTATATGTATATGTATACATACATATAGACCCTAATAAATTCCTATGATCATGCTTTGAAAAAACTACTTTACTGTTATGCAAATGTACCTGGATTCTAAATACATACGCGTTATTCAGAATTATTAACGGATCATCACCTACTTAAGAAGGTAGTCTATTTTTAGTAGTTTTTTTTTATAGTCTGGAAGAGGAAAATGTAGGTGATATTTGGAATTTTATGAAAGAAAAACTATTTAAAATATCAGTTTCACGCTTTGCACCATTATTTACATATATCTTGCCAAATTACATGAATTTTTTTATAAAGAAACACATTTATTTAAAAATAATAAATAATAAAAAAAACATAAGTTCGAAGCACTGGTTATTGGTAACTCTCCTATTAATTTTATACAAGTTCAAAGTTCACTTAATATTCTACGGAGTACATTCCGCGTTTTCTAGAATTCGGTATTTAGTTTGTTCTCCAGACGCGAGATCCTCTAATTATTTTATGCGATCTGCAAGCAGCTGAAATTGTGTGGATATAACGTCATATCCGTCTTTTCACTGGCGCGCCCAACGGTACTTCGCAACAGGAAATTGTCAGCGTTGTTTCTCACAAAATGTTCATTTTTGAATAAATTCACTCCACCGTGACGTTCTTAATTACGTTCACCGGCTAAGCCATGGAAATACGCTCTAATCATAAACAGTGCACAGTATTTAACTAAGTCTGGACAGACGAATAAATTTAAATGCCTCTCGATTGTTAACATAGACAAGCAGCATGTAACAAAACAGAAAAAATGTCAACACTATTATTTTACCAAGTACATAATATTCGTGAAACACAAGAAAGTATGTAATGAACAAACAGTGAGAAATAATTTGTCTGGCGCACGTATAAAGGTTCGAGAATGAATTCTGTGTACCTTACACAATCTTCAATAGACTTTCACACCCGGTTCGCACAATTTTATTTTCATAGATACAATTTTCATTGCAATATACGCGTGCCAACATACTGACGTTATTATTTTAGTGAACATATTCAATATCCAATTTTTAATGTAATGTGAATAAATAAAAGTTACAATAACTTTTGCACAATCGTGAAGAAAATCTTCAGAGTCTATTTTAGTATATTTTCCATATTGTTGTTGGTCCTAATAATTTTATAAATCATTTATAAGTCACTGTAAAAGTTTACTTATCTTTCTTCCATTAATGTTTTATTTGTTTATTAATTTATTTTATGATTTCGTCACAGCCTAAACCGGATAGGGAACACAAGGAACGTTTAAGGACCGAGATCTTCCGTTGGCAAGCACCGGAACTTTTTCACAGTTGTGAACCACGCAAAGAGAGCGATGTTTACGGGCTTACCTTGTTGATTTGGGAAATGTGTACAAGTAAGTGTAAAGTTTTATTATTTCCAGAATTCCTCGCAGCTGCTTTAACCCACTAAACGACGGATCATCCTGATAACCAAACGCATATACATATTTAATATAAACCAGAAATCGTAACAGTTATAATCAAAATGAGAAAAAATTGAAATATAACTATATTATATTTTTCGTATAAAATGATTTTGGTTATTAATTAATGATTACAAGCTATTAAAATGGCTTTTGTTTACAAATAACAATTTACCGAATCCATCCCCGAAGTTATGACATATTATGTTACTTTGTTTATAAGTAAATGAAGATGGAATATATGTGATAATATAACAATTGGATGGAGGATATTAATTTTTTTTAAATTATCGTAAATTTTTCTTCCTTTTAACTAATATCTAAATCATAACAGGAAATTAAATTATGTGTATACGAAGTAAACGTTTTTATGATACTAAATCCAAAATAAACATAAATTACCAAAGATGAATCACTTTGTGAATTATTTTTGTAATTTACATGTAACGTACCAATCGAAAAATTAAATACAAATAAAATGCCTGTTGCTACTATAACGTTTGCTAATTAATTCGTTTGATATCTTACATAACACCTGTACTTTGTTATCATTGCATAAGAGAATCGCTCGAAGAGAGCTATAGACGTAGAGTTATCAAGCTGTTACAAAGTGATTATTATAAATATATAAAATCGCATACGATACATCGTGAAATATCTGTCTGAAGGTAATTATTACAAAAGCTATGGTATTTTTGTTAAACTACATATCATACATAATCTTGAGCTCCACCATTATTATTTTCTATGCATATCACTAGTTGCAGTAAAAACTGGATATAATCTTTCATTTTATGATTACAAATAACTGATTTCAATTTACAAATTACAAGTACAGTTTACGATTATCGACTAATTTTTGTGACGATTGACTGATCAGTGTATATTAAGTAATTAATTACGCGAAATAATAATAATTTTGTAATCTTTCTTTGTAAGTTTTATCGTTAATTATTTTCTCATTTACCACTAATAAAAACGCAAATTACAGATAACATTTCCAGTATAATAAGCAAAATGAAGGTTCCGTAGGTTCTAAACATCTGTGTTTAATATGTCTACTGAACAAGACAAGCGTGGCTTGAAATTGTTTAACGATCTCTAATAAAGTTCAAACATTCGAGGAATCTGTGATATAGATTTCTTCGGCTGAACCTGAACCATTAAGATATTACCTTTTAAATTAGAAACTCCGCTAGAATCTTAGTATAAAAATGAAACAGGTTTGGAGCTGATGAGGAAATGAAATTACGTTCGCTGAGATTTATATGAATTAATTTAACAAAAGATCAATTTTCCTGGGCATTCGATTTTTTTTTGTACACGATATACAAAATTTCGTAATCACTGTGATCACTTAAAAGCTTACAATATTTTTCAGAAATTTAAATTAAATTGTTGCTTGAAATGTTGTGTGCCTATATTTAATCATTACAAATAAATTCAAATACTTTCCCTTTTTTAAATCCATAATTTAACAGATTCTAATTAAAAATGATAAATTTGTTATAATAAAAATTATAACAAGTACAACATTTTAGTTCGTTCAGTTAGTAATCTTTTCTTGTTTCATTTTCTGCTCAAAAGCAACGGTAAACTTTCAGTTTCCGTTTAAAAATTATGCAGTATTTTTTACGTAATAAATAAGAATTATAAAAATGATGTCTCATTGATGAATAGCGCACGTACCATGGAGCGGATACAGCAAAATAGATGTGGACAGACAGTACGCACACTGGAAACGTGGTGTCATTATGGATTTATACGATTTCCCGCCTTTGCTTAATAATTTATTAGAAGCTGGACTGCAACTGGATGTCAATAAAAGAACACTGGATATGAATCGAATGCGTAGATTCCTTCAAAGATTAGAGGTGACTAACAATGAATTAACTCATTTAGAAAAATATCAATTTAATCTTCTAACGATTGTAATATGAACATAAAATAATTGAAAGATACTCTAGAAACAGTCATTAGGCAACTCCTGCTATATTTAAAATGTACTATACAAGGTCCAACGTATTATCTCTAGATGCAATACGAAGACGAAGAGTCTGTGTACATCGACCAATACACAAACAACAATAACGAAAACGGAAAAACGTTCATTTTGACAACAACGAAACCTCTCGTAGCAGCGCCTAAAACCAAGAGTTCAAGGCTAGCCAAAAGCGCTTCGGCCAAACAATTGTCATTCTCCGCGATAAACTCCGAATCACCGACGAAACAGTATTTATGTTCAAAAAAATCGACGCCCAAGCAAAATATAAACTTAAAAGCGGTGACGCTCAACGAACAAGTAAACTTCTGCGCCGAGGACGTGAAACGCGTCGCCAAAGACGACTTTAAAAAAGACACGAACTTATATTGCAGCGTGCAGAAAAATTATAGGAAAGACAGTCGCTCCAGTTGCAATTTAGAAGCATCGGACGGCATTCGAAATGAAGAAAATTTCGAAAATAACTCTGAAGTAGCTTTGCAACCGTGGAACTACGAGTACAAAAAGGTGAGGGCACCGCAAGAAGACATGGAATCCAAAAGCACTTTGTATTCCTCTTCCATCTTAGAATCCACCGACGACGAGTCCTTCAAAGATGCGAGATCCAACTTGAAACAGTTGAAGGAAACATTGGCGAACAAACGAGAGCATTTCTTTTACGGGAACGACTCGTCACCCAATTTTGAAAATACAAGTATGTACCATAACGACGCACAGTGGCGATTAATTGCATATTTGTTCCCAATACTCGTAACCCTTGAATAGAATTCGACCACTTTATTCTTAATGATTTTTAGTCAAGTTTAATTACCGTATTTTTTTAAATATTGTATCAGGTCCAAAGACTAAGAACATAATAATGACTGAAATAAAGAGCAAAGACTATGAACCGCATAAACCGGCTAGTCATAAAACTAGCTTAGAGCCGAAATTCAATAAATCTCCTGGTCAATATGATCCGTCTTGTATGAAATCGTCGTTCCAACAATGTCGGAAGGTATGCTTTTTTTAGAAATATATGTATAGAGAATACACCTAAATGAATGCATTTAAATACCTCTACTGCTATTAATCCTTTGCTGTACAATAACAGACAACAACATTAATGACTCAATTCATTAATTTACATTAAAGATACCTTACTTACACACACCGGAGAGTATTAAGGGCGCGATCATTCAACCACAAGTATTAAATTCCGACCCAGAAAGCTTTTTCGAAACTTCTTTATGGAGAAAGGAAAAGTTAATTTGTTTGTCGAAAATGAGAAAAACGTATGATGATGAACTGGTACGAACTCGCTTCTTTAATACTAACTTTATAACATTAACAAAAAATAGTGTAAATAGTAAGATGAAAATGTAGTGAAACGAATTAAAAATAATTGTCATTTTAAATTATTCTATAACAGATAAACTACAGTGTACAGGATACAAATGATAATGATACGGTTTCTACTAATACCTTTAGCAAGATTGAAACTACAGACACAAACTCTACAAAAAGCGACAATACATACATTTTAAATAGACGAGAACAAGGTAATAGATTAGGATTTATTTCCGTTCATTCTTGCTATAATTAAATGATACTATTATTATTTAACTGTTTTAGACACATTATTAGATTATAATACTTCCATATTTTAATGCCTTCTTGTTTTTAACGTAATTCAAAATTCTAATTATAATAACATAATTAACTGCAGAAACAGAAGCCAGCCAAGAAGGCTCAGTCTCTGAGCATAGGAGTGATTCAACGGAAACTGTTAGTAGTCCCCAAAGCAAACCAATGCAGATTTTGAAAGACGCTTTAGATCGTGCTACGAAAATTGTACGCCCTGGCACGCCAAACTCCGATGAAATGCGTTCGTCTCCTCTATTTGAAAAATACGAAGACTTCGAAGTTACGCCAGGCGATAGTCCAGGCTCCAAAAACATTTTCGAAAACATGTACAATTTGGGAGCGAACGATAACGGCGAGGAAATAAAAAGTATCGAAAGGTCGACGAAGAGAGACAAAATATTTTTGTATAGTAAGAATAACATAGTGGATAAAACGACAAATGATAACAAACTCCAAAACAAATTCGAAAATGACAACATCAATTTTAATAATTATGATAATCCATCTCATTCATTCGAGACGACATACAGCAGAAATTTCGTATGCGAATCTATCGCTGAAGTATCGAGCGAATGCATTAATAGTTCCTATAATGACACAAACTTAGAAAAGAAGATTGAAGAATTGTTTAGTAATCAAGGAAGCACTGCTGAGGAAGAAGTGAAACCTTTGGAAAACATACAACGTTTTAACACGACCGACAAGCAAAGTAATACCGAGAGTCAGGTAAAAATTAAAGAGGACGAAAACCATCCCCAATCGACGAACTTTAATTTAATGTTTCTAAATGACTCATCCAAAGTTAAAAATTGTAAATCGTGTCATTCATGTGCTTTACCAAGGCGACGTTCTTTACCAGCAGCATTGAGCCAGTTAAGACTGGCTAATAACTCAGCGTTGGGGAAGCTACCTATACGGAGAGGGGTAAGCGTACCATTATACGTGGGCTATTTAATATTTCTTTTTAGATACATTTATAATTTTTATGTTTTAGATAAATAACGATAAAGTTTATTACATTTGTCATACTACGACTATGTATTATTATTAGTGGTGTGCCCGAATCCAAATTTCGGGTAAACCGCACATTCCTAATTGTTATATTTGTTACAGGATATTCCAGACAGCACTGTTGAAGACTTATACATAGATGATGAATTCGGCGACAGTTTGAACGTTAATATGGTTTTGTTAGATAAAGATTTATCATTTGACGAGGATTTCTTATCCGATTTATCAGAAATTTAGGGTACTATACAAAAATTAAATATCGTTTCCTTTATTCAATATTATGGTTAATTTATTAAATTTTACTTTTAAAAAATACATTAAATATTACATGATCATCAAGTTCCAATACGCTTGGAATACTCAGTACTGAAGAATAAGCACCTACAAGTATTTTATGTTCATTTCCAAAAATATTCATATATTTTGTAACTTGACATATGTCAATTAGTACACAAGTATGTATTTTTATGTTGTGTAAAATATATGATCAATTACTGCAGAGTACTATAAGATTTAAAACACCATAACATACTTCATGTAAAACTTAAATGTACATAATAAATAACACCATTTATATGAAAAATATAAAAAAAGTAACAAAAATAAACGTTTTTAATATAAATTTTTAGTTAAAATAAGTTTATGTACATACAAATAAAATGGACTAATTAGTATACGTAATATTAGTGTTCCACATGCACTGTATTTGCAATATAAAATGATACATAATTGTTGAAAAGGAAAGTACTATTGCTCGATACAAATTTCAATATTTATGCATCTTGAATGCTACAGTTTATGCAAGATAATGAAAAGAATCCTAGTATTTTTCTCTAATTTTTATCACAAACTTTGTAAATACAAAGATCAATTAAATTGCTAGACCAAATACAGAAACAATACAGTACATTGTCTTATTTTCCCAACGTACTGTACAACTACCATCGGTAGCATTGTCCCAAAAGCAGGAACTTGCAGTATGAAGTCCAGCCCCGTTCTTTTGCATAATGACACAAGTAACTGAAAATAACTTTTGTTAATGGTCAAATCAAATAGTACAACAAAAACAAAAAATAATTTTCTATGTAAATTGATGAAGCGTACAAGTTCTCATGTAATCTTATAAAAACTCACCTATATATTTATATGGCTTTTGTAATTTTGTAAGATTTCCCAAACATGCTTCAACAACATTTGATGTCCATTGACTTACTTTATTATGTAGATAAGCATTACCACCAATAGACACTTCGATTGCTTCCTTAATAATCTTGCTTACATCATCAACCACAAATTGGGTCTAAAATGATATACAAATGAAATTATATTCATGTATTAGCTTTTTAGCTAAAGATAAATTATAAAATACAACGTCAGCATGCTATGAATAAATTAAATTAACGGAATAAAAATTATATATAACGAATAAATAAACGAATGTCTAAAATATAAATTATACACATTTTGTAATGTTTTGACAGTTCGGTAATAGTAAACAAACTTCGAGAAAGATGCATACTAACCTCTTCTTGCATATCTTCCATCATCTTGTCGAATTTTTAGTAAATTCCACGCTGGCGAATATTTACGCAAATCCAAAAATCATAAATCCCTTTAATGAAAAAATAAGTAATATGCAGGCATTATTAATACCGCATGTTATGTCATTCTTAACAATAGTATATTGTTAGAAAATAAAAACGACAAAAATTTGTAACTGCATATTTTACTAATATCTATTTCTTCGTACCTTACGTATTCTGGAACATGAAAATACCGGTACAAATAAATTATACTGTTACGCTATCACGTGAACGTAAGTTTAATGCACATAGCGCCACAACGGGAATTAACTGTAACCCGATTATTCACCGTCGAGTCCAGAATCATGTAACTGCGTTTAGTTAAGAGCGAATTTCAAACGGACCAACGTATTATAATAAACAATACGATCGTATATTTTTCAACGTGGGCGATCAAGCTGGGGAAGGTAGAGAGAAAGGAAGGCACTTCTTTTCAGACACTTGGTTTATTTTCTAAAGGCCGCGTCGATGTCGAGATTCCATCGTTCCTTTAGTTTATTGTTTAGTCATTACGGACCGTGACCGTTTAGCTATTTCCGATAAGAGTTTCAATGGTCTTGACACGCAGCAGGGCCTCGCGACACTTCACTTCGAGTTTCGTTTACTCTCACGAGGGTCATAAATTTTCTTAAGGGTTGCTTAGGCCGCTAGCCTCATTTTCTCTCTCGACTCCCACGCTCTCTCTCACGCGCGCCGCTCCAACATGGCCGCGAAACCTCCACCTCCACTCGGCTCGGGGGTGGATCATCGATCGAAGACGATCCGGATGGAGGGAGCAAAGCACGAACCCCGATTGGACCAGGACAATCCAGAGGGAGGATCAAGGAATATTCCAGAGAAGGGATGAACACCGAGGACGACGAGAAGATTTCCGCGGAGGAGCAGATCGATTTTGAGAGTCAACAGAATTGTATCTTTAACCAAGCTTAAGACGAATAAACTTTGATCAATCTTTTCGAGCAATCAATAGTAGTTTGATTTTTGCGCGCCTCGCCGAGCAGAGCGGTTCAGCGCTCCACGGGCACCAACCCACCGTCCTTTCTCCCCAGACCGCTATCTCGGGACGTAACAATACGAATACGATGTTCTTCATGTCAACACTCAGGGGTAGAGCCAGTGATGCCAGCAGAGATGCCAGAAAAGCACCGTCGGGTGCACACGCACACATGCCAGATACGCGTACGTGAGCTCGTGGAGTTTCGGAAAGTCGACAAAGGCAAACTGACGCATGCCCTCTTTCTCGATTCTCCGAAGCTGCCCGAAGTAATTTCGGATCGCTCGTGGGAGTCGAGAGAGAAAGGCTCACATTTGCCTTCTCGCTCTAAACAACTGAAATCCGACCTCCCGTCAACGGCATACGATTTGGATTCTCGAGCCGAGATTCTCGACTGCCCAGGCATTTTTACTTTCCGACCTATGTAGGCGCACATAAGCAAAGTACCCATAATGAAAAAAAAATTTTGTAAAATTTATTTTACGGAAATACACGTTTTAAGACCTCCTGATCATATTTTAATTATTGAAAAAAAAGAAATTTTTTTTTATTCCCATGTATGAGCACACATATGTATATTATTAATACGATTTTTGAAAATCAAAATACTTTAAGATTGAAAATTAATAAATTAAAATGAGATTCCACTCTTTACCAGTATTGTGCACGCTGTGGTATTTTTCAATAAGAAGAGTTCTTACTTTTATAACATAAACAAAACAGTAGAATTAATAATTGCAGAAATTAATTAATAATGATTTTCCTCGATTGTTTTGAGATAACCGTATTTGAGATAACCAATTTGTTATGACGAACTAAATAGAACTAACTAGAAACAAAGGAAAAATGATCCCGTTTGCCAGTTTAATACAAAGTATGGGTTGGATCTTAAATTTTAAAAGGACATAGTCGAATATTTTTAAAGGTACAAAACATAGCGTTTCATTGTAGAACAGTAACATAAGTTAGCAGGTAATGTCATAAAACTGTTTTTCCCAGCTATATCCCTTTTTACCTGAAGTATAAGGTAAAAAGTACGAGCTACAAGGTACGACTATCCGAAAATCGTTCATATTTTATCAATGTAAATGAAGCGGCCTTTCTGTGAAAACAGAACTTTCATTAGATGTAGGTGGTGCTTGAAATTGTTATGTTTTCACTGTTTTTACGAAAAGTACCATCCAGATTCATGTACTTCGTACATTGAAAATAACATATGTTAAATGTATGTAATTGGTTAAATTCAACTTTAAAAAAAAAAATATTCGAAGGTGAGACAAAAATATAATGTCACATTTAGTGTACGATTAAAATATGATTGAAAAAATAAAAAAAAAGGATTTGTTTTGGCAGGGTTTGAACCTGCAGAGCAGAAGAAGCTCGGAACTTGCAGGCAAATATGTACCTTTTAACATACGTTTATTAAAGCCTTATGATATATATACAAACAGATACAACAAATTTAACAACGAATCCTTAAACGTATAGAAATAGGAAAAACGTGGCTTAAAGAACATTAATTCTTACAGACTAAAGACTCTAATTGAGTACGCGTCGTCTTCGGTGTGGATTACATGTATTGCACTTAATGCCGTTTAATAACCTTAACTAAAGTGAGTCGAGGAACTTAATCTATTACGCCTAAGTTTAGTATAGAAAAGGCATAGTAAAAACTATACTAGCGTGAAAAGAGGGGAGAGTTATTGGGTTAATGTTAATGGGTAGAAGGTAAGGTGGGTGAAAGGGGAATAGATACTGGTGCAATTAATTTAACCACCAGTATTTGCGTACATTTTTTCGATGCTTATCTTTTAAGTCTATGGATGAGAGTCTATAGCTGAATTTGAGGTTTTCGTCGTTTACATTGATGTCTTTATCATATAGCAGTTTCTTATTTGACGTTTTTCTATTAATGTGGTAGATCAGGGGAACGTTATTTTCATTTTGGATGAGGCTCTTTTCGTCCATGCAGATAAACGATTCTGGTGGCGCGTAGCCTGTATGTCTGGTTTTTGTGAAATATTGTGGGTTGGGATAGAGTGTATGTGATATTAGTGAGTTGGATGTGATTCTGTTTATTTTTGACCAGTGATCTCTAATTATTTTTAAAATAAATAAGTCTATTCGGACTATTTTTGCCTCCTTATAGAGTTTGTGGTTGCTGATGTATTTTATGTAGTCCGATTCGGCTGATCTGTGTCAGGCAAATACCTTGTCATTCACGCCACGCTGGTTGTTGAATATATTTCTATTTCTGAAGATAAGTATCTGTAATAACTTTAATAATATCTCAAAGTAAAACCTAACCCAAAATCGGGTACCATTCCAACTTTTCCTTGTTAGAACCGAGTTTTCAATTTGTCTTAGCGAAAATCGTGTTAGAAACGTAGAAATCAAGGAATGCTTAAAACAGGCCATGTGCTTCTCCTTAGCGCGCCTCCCCCTCTTAAAGGAGGATCGGCCAGAATGTTTAGACAAAGAAGGACCGTACTGTCAAGGGTGCCCTCACGACCCTGGTTTTCTGTCAGGGTACAGAACTGTATTGGCTTTTGCCGTGAGCAGATATATTCTACAGTTTAAGAAGCAAGTCGTGTCGATTTATTTAAAACGCCCGACCGCTATCCAGATCCTGATAACAAACTATTCTTACATATCAGAAGCGGGATTTACCGTGAGTGCAGTGCACATTTGGAGAGGATACTCGCGTATTGTGTGTACGGACTATTCGAGTGTCCTTGAACAATAAAGTGTGCAGTTAGAGTAAGACTATTTTTAGTGATAAGACGTAGTGTTAATTGTGTATATACTTTTTGTTCGTTGTGTTGAATTTTGTGAACGGATTTTGACCGTTCGAACGATGGATCGTGCATCGTGCAGTCGATACAGCGACGCGGCGGACCAGCGACCGAGTGTTGTTGAATCGCGGCTTGAGAAGCTGGAAAACATGATGGAGGAGTTTTTGCGGCAATCGCGCGCGCGATCGCATGCGTCCCGACGGCGGGATTCGCGTTCGCGGTCACGTTCACGTTCGCGTAGCCCGGCAAGGCGAACTCCGCGTGGACGATCACGCAGTCCGCGAAGAAGCGAGTCGGAGTCGCGGAATACCCGTCTCGATCGCGTGGAACGGGAAAGTTTAGAAACGCGAAGTTCCGCGCCGCGTGCGAAATCACCCGGTTACGCACGCCCAGGGGACGAAAATTTAATCCCCATATACGACCCATCGAAGGAAGACCTGTCAATAGAGAATTGGGTTCGACACGTGAACGACTTGGCAGCTCGATTCGCATGGGACGACATTAGCGTCATGCGCTTGATCGCGACGAGATTGCGAGCCCGCCAGTGGTATGATACCCGGATGCGAGTCGCGACCACGTGGGCCGAAACGAAGGTCCTCCTCGTGGCGCAATTCCGGCGAACGATGCCATTTTCTAAGTTGCTGAGGGAAGCAGACTTATATGAAGCAAAACCCGGACAGGCCCTGGGAGATTATTGCTTCCAGAAAATAAATTTGATCAGACGGCTGGACATCGACCTGAGCGACGAAAAGATTGTCGACATGGTCATATTCGGCGTACCGGACGAGACAATTGCCAGGACAATCAGGTCGGCGAAGCACACCGATCCCAATGATCTGTATGCGTCGATGTGCACCATGGGCAGCATGCCTGGAAAGGAGGAACGATTGCGGAACAACCGGCAGGTCGTACTTCGTCCACCCTCCGCAACGAAGACGAGCGACGGCCCGAAGAGCAAAACGGCGATCACCTGCTTCAATTGTGGGAGAGTAGGACACCGGGCACGAGAATGCCGAAAGCCGAAGGCAGAGTGCAACAGCTGCAAGAAGCTAGGACACCGACAAGAGAGTTGTCCGGAGAAAGAGATAACTATGGTACAAGATATTAAGAACCGTATTAATATGTATAAGATTTACGTTCGCGTCAACGGTCACAAAGTAGAAAGCTTGATAGACACCGGAAGCGCATGTACTATCGTTTATTCGTCGATAACGAAGAAATTCTGCATCAACACGAAAACCGTGGAAGATACGATACTTAAAGGATTCGCCAATCAATCCGTAGTTATTAATAGAATCGCGCCGATTACGATAAAGATCCAGAATGTAACAGCGCGCGTAGATTCCTATATTATTCCGGACGA